ATCAGCATGATGGTAGGAAATTGTGGAGATGTGATTGGATCTGTAAGGTAGAGGTTTTGTTATTAGGGAAACTTTGTCTTGAGAGAGAGACTAAGCTGATGTATATGATGAGATGAAGTAACAGTAGAAAACAAAGTGGTGTAGAAGTTTAAGAGAAGTGAGAGCTGGGCATAGCGGCTCACGCCTTTAATTCCAGCCCTCGGGAGGCAGAGGCAGGGGGATCTCTGAGTTTGAGGCCTATCGGTTTATAAAGGACTGCCAGGGCTACACAGAGAAACTCTGTGTCTCAAAACACAAAATAAAACACCAGGGGAGTGTGGCTTATATTATTTTCTGAAAGATGAGAGGAAAATGAATGTTATTCAGTAGCCCAAATTGAGGAGACTCATGGAGGCGAGCATCAACATGAGATGTTTGGGAAGAATGCCTGGTGAGAGTGGACAGTTTGTGTTGAAATATTAGAACCATAGTATTAATTCTGTGAGCTGCTTGTAGATTGGAGATAAATGTATCTGTCATTTGAGGGTTAATGAAGAACCACATTTCACTGTATAGCCTGGCTGGCCTGGAACTCACTATGTATGCCAGCTTGGCCTCAAATTTATAGAACTCCACCTGGCTGTATCCCAGTGTTAGAATTCATGGCCTATGCCACCATGCCCAGCTAAGTAGATTTTTTTTTCTCCAGTCTTGGGAATTAAACCTAAGGGTCTTTTCAGTGCTAAGCCAGTGCTCTGTCACTGAGCTACAGTCCCAGCGTTTTCTAATTTTTAGTTACAAGACAATGTAATAGCTTACATTTAATAGCAGGAGAAACTGGAAAGAGACCATTCTTGGGGCTAGAGAGAAGGCTCAGTGGTTAAGAGCACTGACTGTTCTTCCAGAGGACTCAAATTTGATTCCCAACATCAGCTCATAACTGCCTGTAACTCTAGTTTCCAGCCATCCAGTGCTTTCTTGTCTCTGTGGCACTAGACATGTACATGATGTATAGACATACATACAGGCAAAACATTCCTGCACATAACATAATTAAAAGAGATCAGTCTTACAGACAGAATTTTCTGTGGAGAAGCAATAGATGAAGCCCAGGATTTTGATGTATGCAGTTTGAATTTAGGGCATGGCATGACTTTGAAATCATGGTTGGATTCCCACATGGAGTCCTCCTATGGCTGGTGAAAATAGAAGACTGGAATTAAATTAGAGCCTAATGGTTAAATATTTTTAATTTTAGCATATTTTCATTGTCTTGTTTTTGAGACAGGATTTTTCAGTGTAGCCCTGGCTGTCTTAGAACTTCTTAGAAACACCAGGCTAGCCTCAGCCTCACATAGATTCACCTATCTTTCCTTCCAGGTACTGAAATTAAAGATCCACCATACCTGGGTCTTCACTGACTTTCAAGTTTTAAATATGGAAGGATGTCTTATATTCTTAAACACCTGAACTTGTTAAGATTTTTATTATATTTATTAATGTGTGTGTGTGTGTGTGTGTGTGTGTGTGTGTGTGTGTGTGTGCGCACACACACATGCACATGCTATGATGCTTGTATGGAGGGCAACTTAGAGGAGTTGGTTCTTTCTGCCTACCTCGTGGTTCCTGGGATTTAAACTCAGGTGGTCAGGGTTGGCGGCCAGTACCTTTATCCACTCAGCCATCTCTCAAGCCCCGACTTTATCTTTGAGGGAACCAAATGTACCATGTTCTTATTTACAGACCTCAAGGGAAATAAAGATTTCCGGAGCTATTGGACCCTGTGTGTCTCTTAACTCTAAAGGACCCTGCGTGTCTGAAAACGTAAGTAATGTTTGTTCTAAAAACCACAGTTAATTTCTAGGCTAGCACAAAGGCCCGTCATGGAAGCCTGTGATTTTCCTTTTCAACTGTTGTATGTGGTTGAGCTGTCTTACACTTCCATGTGTGGTTGTTCTTTCCCATACACTGCCACCAGTGCTCTGTTTTATATGGCTAAGCTATTCCTTGTCCTAGTGTGCTCTTAAATAAATTCTCATGACTTGGACATTTTTAGGTTTCTGAAAGCCAAAATTAATTCCAGGTGGCGTTTGTCACCATAATTAACAACAGAACAACCAAATCAGAGAGATTTAGGTTTCAATCCCTTCTTTTTCTCTGCCTGTTGAGGGACTGTAATGCATTCTAAAACTACAGTCATGTAGTTGTAGATAGGATGATAAGACAGCACAAACTACACAATCAGCTTTCAAAAATGACAAAGCAAAAAATCAGCTTATATGCAGTTTGTGTAGTAAAGATTTGTGTCTGAATTTTCTTGGCATTTAGAGGACCTAGTCATATATGCATATATATAGGATCCCTTGACACAGATAGGAAAGTTGGGTGGAAAGGTAATGTTACTGGTTAGTCACTTGTTAAATAGTGCATGCTTCAAAAAACCTTATATTCTTTTAATTTACTTAGCAAACCATTTAATAATCTTAATGTTTTTGTCGTGTACAATGCTTAATTGTATTTAATTATGTGTTTGTGATATGGTGTTAAAATTTTTAAGCTCTTAGTATTTATTGAATAAATCTGAAAGCTGTGTGTTTTTTCTTACTGGAGACTTATCCCTGCTTTTCTTCTTCCTATAAATTAATAAATAATGTTCTTTAGCTTTCAAGCACCCTGTATTCTTTTTTAATAGGAGATTGGAACAGGCGGCACTTGTCAGTGGAAGATATGTGGACTCAGTCCCACTACAACCTTAGCCATGTATTTTGAAGTTGTTAATCAGGTATGACTGCTTACATTTAAAAAAACGTGTCTTTGGTATTTTGAGACAGTATGTAGCTCTGGCTCTTTAGAATTCACTATGGAGACCAGACCAGCCTCAAATTCTTAGTGCTCTGCCTGTCTCTGCCTCCCAAATGCTGGGTTTAAGAGCATGTTCCACCCTGTCTGGCTGACTGACTGCTTTTTAATACTGAAAGGTAAACAAACACTAAACATAGAACTGAATCTTTCATATGAATTGGAGGATTTATTTTCTAGTTCTGTGAAGTGTCTCATAGGTAGTTTGATAGATTGGCAATAAATCTGTAGATTGAATTGGGTAGTGTGGTTATTTTAACAATACTGATTTTCCTTTCAATGAACAAAGATATCTTTCCATTTATTTAATTTTTTCACCTTTGTTTGGATTTAAAATAGGTATTTTTTTCACTGTTGTAAATGAGATTATTTCCTTGTCCTCTCTCCCTCTCCCCTCCCTCCTTCCCTCAGCAGTGCTAGGGATTGAACCAGGTCTTTCCTCTGGCTAGGTAGATGTTCCACTATTGAGCTCTCTATGCCTGGCCCCTGATTTCCATTTCAGAGAGTTTGGTATAGGTGTATGACAGTGTTGTGGATTTTTTTAGATAGAGTCTTATGTAGTGAGGCTGCCTTGAATTTCCTGTGTAGGTGATGATGGCCCAGAAATCTGAACTTCTGATTCTCCTCATTGAAAGTGTGAGTCTATAGGCATGTAGTAACATGCCTGTTTTTTTTTTTTTTTTTTTTTTTTTTGTTTAAATTATTTTAAAATTATGTGTATGTGTGGGGTTTTGTGCCTATGTGTACAAGAGCCCACAGAAGCCAGAGACATCAGATTCCCTGCTCTGATATTTACAGGTGGTTGTAAGTCATCTAGTGTGTGTTCTGAAATGAAACTTGAGTCCTCTGCAAGAGTAGTATTCACTTTGATTGTTTTTGTTTTATTTGGTTTGGTTTTTGAGACAAGGTTTCTCTGTGTAACAGCCCAGGCTGTTCTGGAACTCTCTTTGAATACCAGTCTGGCCTCCAACTCTCAGAGATCAGCCTGCCTCTGCCTCCTGAGTGCAGCAACTAAAGGCGTGCAGCACCACTTCCCAGCCAGTATTCACTCTTTTTCCCCCAATCAAAATAAAATTGATTGCCTCCTTGTGCCAGCTTACTGTAACAAGGTGATCTTTTTTTAAAAAAAAAATTATTTTACATCCCTTCCACAGCCTCTCCTCCCTTTTCTCTTTCCACTTCCTCCTCTCTCCCCTCTCTCTCCCTTCATCCACCCATCTTCCATATTTGCTCAGAAAGGGCCAGGCCTCCTCTGGGCATCAGCAAAGCATGGCATATCAAGCTGCCTTAAGACCAAGCACCCCCCCCCCCTGTATTCAGGCTGGGCAAGGCAATCCAGCATGAGAAACAGGTTCCCAAGAGGCAGACAAAGCACCAGGGACAGCCCCTGCCTCCATTGCCAGGAGTCCCACAAGTAGACCAAGCTACTCAACTGTTACATATATGCAGAAAGCCTAGGTCAGTCCCACGAAAGCTCCCTGGTTGTTGTTTGAGACTCTGTGAGTTCCCATGAGCCAGGCTAGCAGTTTCCAGACAGGCTGGGTAACAAGGAGGGCCTGAGTGGGGGGCATATGGATCTCCCTGGGAAGTGAAAACAGAGGAGATCTCCAGGGGGACCTGGGACAGGGTAGGCCTGGGAACTTGAGGGGTTGGGTTGTGGGGTGGACAGAGGGAAGAGTGCCAAGAGACATGACTGGAAAGGGGGGCTTAATGGGGTCAGGAAGAAGCCTGATGCAAGAGAAACTAAGAGCTACAAGGATGGCCCCAGCTAAGACTCTTGACAGCAGTAGATGCATAGCCTGAACTGGCCATCTCCTGTGACTGGATTGGTGACAATCCCTGTTGTCATCGGAGAGCCTTCATCCAGTGACTGATGGAGGCAGATTCAGAAATCCATGGCCAAACATTGGGTCTTTTGGCTCATGTTTGGGAGTCCTGCTGAGGAGAGGGAGGAGGGATTTTAGGAGCCAGAGGGGTCAGGGACATCGCAGGAAAACCCACAGTATTTACTCTTAATTGCTGTCTTATCTCCAGCTCCTCCCTCTCCCAACATTAAAAAGAGGTTATTTTTTCATGATTTTTAATATTTTTAGTTGAATGTGTAGAGATCTCTACGTGAGAGACAGGTTGTGTTATTTTAGTGACAGTTTGACTTCCTGTTCCAATTTTGATGCTCTGTTTTCTTCCTCTTGCCTGATTTTGTGGAAGGACTTTTTGTAGTACAATGTTTAGTGACTGGTGAAAATAGGAATCCTTATTTCGCTCTAGACATTAGAGAGAAGCTCATTTTCTCTCACTAAGGTGTGATGTCATTTGTGGCCTTTTTTAATGCATGGCTTTTTGTTATGTTGGAGTAGAATTCTTCTATACATAATGTGTTTAGCATTCTTATTAAAGAGTGCTGAATTTTACCAAATGCCTTTTCTGCATCTATTGAGGTGATGTCATATGCCTTTTGTCTTACACTTTATTGCTATGGTACTATCATATCATTTATTCAGTTGCATATGTCGAACCACTCCATAGGAAGAATCTCACTCTGAGAAGATTAGTATTAGTTCTTTGTTGCTGCTGTAGTTAGCAATGTGAACCAGGGAGAGTGGAGGGGCTAAAAATGAGGCAGACTAAAGTCTCATACAGTAGCCAACTTTATTCAGAGCATCAGACAGTTTATACTCAGAGGGTTAAGAAGAGTCACCTGAGTAAAGTGTACAGTGACAAGGACAGGGTGCACGTGACAAAAACATGTTTTTCCATAGAGGCATATAAACAGATAATAGCCAGCTGTAATGAATAATCTAAATGAATTCACTCCTATCCCCTACACATGGAAAGGGCATCAAAACACATTCCAGGAACAACCCAAGTTATGGAGGAGCAGAGATTACAAGACTTCTGTCTTGTTTTCTCACAGGGTCTCAGAAGTCTCACCTAGCTTTGTTCATGGACTGTGTTGTGACAGTTCTTTAAATATCTATTGGGCTCTGTAGTGAAGACTTCTGTCTTAGTTAGACACCATGACTATGGCAAATCTTATAAAGGAAAACATTTAATTGTGGGTGGTTTACAGTTCAGAGGGTTAGTTGATTATTGTCTTGGTGGGAAGCATGGTGGCATGCAGGCAGACATGGTCCTGGAGAGGTAGCTGAGAGTTCTACATCTGGATTGGCAGATAGCAGGAGGAGAGAGTGACACTGGGCCTAGCTTGAGCAGCAGAAATCTCAAAGCCCATCTCCAGTGACATACTTCCTCCAACAAGGCCACATCTCCCAACAGTGCCACACCCCATGAGCCTATGGGGACCATCTTCATTCAAACCACCACAGCATCTGACACTGAGCTTTATTTTATATTTATTTTATGTGTGTGAATGTTTTGCTTGAATGTATGCATGAGTACCACATGTGTGCCTGGTGGCCTGAGAGTCCAGAAGAGAGCATTAGATGGCTGGAGTTGGAGTAATGGATGACTGTGAGCTGCCATGTGGGTTCTGGAAACTGAACCTGGTGCTCTGGAAGAACAGCCAGTGCTCTTAACATCTGAGCCAGCTCTTTAGCCCCTGGGCTTTCCCTTGCCCTAGAATGATTTTTTTTAGTGCTAGAAAATATGTAGTCTTTGATACTGTGACATGGCCATAGTAGATTTTGCTTTTTGTTGTTAGTAGATTTTAGATTTTGTTCTGACTTCTTTATTTTTATACAGCACAATGCTCCAATTCCTCAAGGAGGACGAGGTGCAGTCCAGTTTGTCACCCAGTATCAGCACTCAAGTGGGCAGAGACGTATCCGAGTGACCACAATTGCTAGGAAGTAAGTTTTTATTTTATTTTATTAGAGGTTTAATTATGTATTGAAAGTATTGTAGCTCATACTCTCAATCTGAGTATCTTATTTGGGTAACATTTATCACTAGAAAATAAACATGTATGATTCAGTTTGTGATTTATTTGTTTTAAACCTAGCTTATTTTATAGAATAGTTAGTTATAAGTTTAATAGTAATTTTTTAAAAGTATTTCTAGAACAGCCAGGGCTGCATAGAGAAACTCTGTCTTGAAAACATAACAAAACAAAAAGTACTCCTCAGGGTTGGGAAGGTAGCCCAGTTGGTAAAATGCTTTCCTTGCAAGCATATGGACCTGCGATCGATCCCCAGAACCCATGGGAAAAAAGCTGGATGTGGTGGAACCCACGTGTAATCCCAGCTCTGGGAGATGGAGATGGGTGAATTGCTGGGACTCACTCGCCTGCTAGCCTAGCCAGTTTGGTGAACTCCAGGCCAATGAGAAATCCTGTCTCAAAGAACAAGGTGCCTGGCTTCTGAGGATGCCACCTGGGACTCTTCCCTGCCTTCCATATCCATGTGCACAAATGTGCAGCCACACATGCACACGAGTGCTCCTGAGTCACACACTTAAGTTGTGTTTATTATGACCGGTTATGGTGGCACACACTTGTAATCCCAGCACTTGGAAGGTAGAGGCAGGAGGATCAGGAGATGTAGGTCATTCTCAGGGAGTTTGAGAGCATCCTGGCAAACATGAAACTGCCTCAAACACACAGACACACAGACACACAGACACACAGACACAGACACACACACACACACCCCAGGCTGGAGGAATGACTCAGTAGATAAGAGCACTTGCTGCTGTTAGAAAAGACCCAAATTCAGTTTCCAGCATCCGTGTTGGGAAGCTAACAACTGCCTATAACTCTGGTTTCAGGGGATCTAATGCCCTCTTAAGACCTCTGCAGGCACCCACCCATACATACACAGACAGGTTTACATATGCACACTCCTAAATCAAAATTAATAACAACAGTAAAAAAAGTGAACAAATTTTATTTACCTTATCCCCATAGGGAGAATCAAACATTGTATTTAGTAGTCACAAATATATATATTATAATATATATAGTCACTAATATAATCTTTATATATGTACACATACACTTTTATACATGCATACACATATGTGAAGTATATTATATATACTTAATAATATAGCACTATGATTAATGACATTTCTTTTCAGCTGATGGTTAGTCTATAATTTCCCATGTGTTATTAATGCTCTAATTCTTTTATCATACCATCATGCAGCTCCTGCTTTGTGGATTAGGTGCTATTAGGGGCTTGATCCACTATGACGGTGTGGTGTAGACTGCTCTTCAAACTGTCTGTGTTGAAGGGTTAGTTGTGGTTTTTCTTCCCATCCTTTGGAATGAATGCTTTTACTAAGTACAATAAAAGTGA